TCCTTCTTAGCATATTCAAGACGAACTTTTGTCTTTATTGATTCAAGAGTCATCTCTGAATGTAGAATGAAGACTCTAGAACTCGTTGTTATCATTACTGAGTTTCATCATATGAGTAAACTTTAGAACCAATGGATTTTCTTGCCTCCATCTAGCCAGTAGATACTTCTCAGGCAACATGAAATAGTTATGAGCACTAAATACTCGAATAGAATAATGCACAAAATTCCTGAAAATTCAAACTCTTAGCAAGAACATTCAACAACCTATTCTATTGAATTCCAATACACAAAACATCCACAAAATAGTTTTGTTGTAGTGACGCACAAGATATGATCCATCACTATATAGAAATAGACCATACCCAACAGAAAGTACCATCTCATCTTGTAACAACTTAAAGGCGAAAGGCCTGAGAACTTTTGATGCATGTTTCTCCATTGGCATGAATGTCTTAATTGGAGGATTGTAATACTTTTGCCGTATTGTTCCCTTTTTCCCAGCATGGATTCTTATACTAACTGCAGTACCAATCTGATTAACAAATTCTTTTAAACTTGTTCTGGCATGTAAAAATCTTTTCAAATATACATTAATAGATTCTGAGCATCCAGTCGTAGTCATTCCAGCAAAAAGGTATCCCTTCAAGTATGGCAGTGCCCAAGATGCACGATTTAAATATAGCAATTTCATATGCCTATCCGATCCAAGATCAAATTGAGAGATCAATTCATCCCATTGGTGCTCAAATTCATCGATGTTACCAAGTTCATAAAGTCTATGAAATTCAAATTTAAATTGCAAATATCTTGAACCGAGGACAAAAAAAACCAAGTAGAGAACTCGGATGTAATATGCCATATACAAAAGGCATGTTTAGAGTATGGCAGTTCATTAGCAATAGCTTATGTTAAGCCAAGATCTTGATCTATTAATATAGTTTGTGGGTGCTTTCCATCCATAAGCCGTACGAAACTCAGCAAAATAAACATATAGTGGCAGTAAAGCTAAAAAAACTTTTTCGTGTAGCTAGATATTAGAATAATTTTTACCATTAAAGCCTAAGAAAAAGAAGATGCCTTCTCATTGCACAAGAAAACACAAAAAAAAAAAAAAAATTGCCATGATTGTTCACACATATCTAAAGTCCTAATGGTATTTCATAACGATTCAATCGATAAGTAGTGTCAAAGACGACTACATCTCCAAAAACTTCATAAGCACGATAAAGTCTCCGAATTTCCAGATGACATGTTCGAGTCTTTGACATCCATCAACAGTGAAATCAGATTGGAAATCAACATTTTTGTCTTTCAAACTCTTGCATATTTTCAATAGCTCCAACGCATCACCTTCAATATTAGTAGAACTTTCTGATTGAACAAAATTCCTTATATCTTTTTCTGTGAAAGGCAATTGGCTTGGATTTACTCCCTTTTCTAATTCAATCATTCTTCTGATTAAACTTATTGAACAACCAACTTTTGCAAGAAGTATAATTCGTATTTGATCAATAACGTCAATATTTCGATAAGCGGGGAGAAATCTTACCTCTTTGTCACTCAATAGTTCTTGATTGTGAACATTATCAAATATAGCACTGTCCAACGAGTGATGCCATCAAATATATCTTTGGCATGGACATCTTGGCTTTACAGTTACATCTGGAAGATTTTCGATTTCTTTGTCGTTCTTTTTCAACGACCTTTTGAGCATGAGGGCTACCAGCACGATGACAAACATAATCCTTTTTATAAATTCTCGTAGGATGTTCTGTACTTCTTAAATGGCGATCACATCTAACTGAAAAACCAAAATTTTTAGTAAAATTCATATAGTAATTGTAAGCTTCATCATCCTATCAAACACTTTTCCCATTTGCAAATCATCATCACTAACATCAATAACATTCTCTTTTCTTAGTTCTTCATTTGAAATTGTAGCAGTTCCTACAACTGTATCTCCATTAATAAAGCACCCAATATCACCACATGGACAATGGTTTCTTGAAACTCCTACTGTTGAAAACCTGTATTTTCTAGTTCCATCAAAAGAAACAATTAGCCAAAACATTTAAGTAATCCAACTATAGAATCAGTTCATTGAAACAGTAAATTTTGCATTATAAATCAAAAAGCAAGAAGCAAATCGAAAGGCACAAAGCAAATATAAAACTAAAAAATCTTTTAATCATTGGACACCCCTGTTTCAAAAGTAAAAGTACTTTTAACCCCAAAATTTGATCAATAAATAAAAAGGTATTAAAATACTATATGCTTACCTCCATATGCACTAGTCAATGTTGGAAGAGAGAAAACTTAAAAATAACCTTGGAATTTCATAGAAGAGCAATGGCTTGCTTAGTCCCTTTTTCCCGCCAGTGAATAGCGCGATTTCGACGGGAGGGGCTTGAAAATGTACTTTTAGGGCACTAAGTGAATTGGGAGAATTTAGGTAAAAAGACCAAAAAGCCCAAGAACTTATTGAGGTGGCAATGGAAATTCGAAATGGGTAGGGTATATATCTCCTACTATTATATAAGTGAGGATAAACAGGACATGGTCAACATGTGTGCTTAATTCCTTGAGGACGTTCTGGTAAATTCATGCAAGCTAGAGCAATTTGATTGGCCGAAAAAGTATCTTACTTTAGCTGCTACGTAAATATCTATGTATTTTGACAAAAATACTCTTTGCTTATCTCATCATACATCATTATTACTATCCAAAAGCTTTTTTGGAGATATGGGTCCCATCTGGCCGCCGCTATCATTGCAAGGATATTAATTTCTTGATAGCCACCTGTGTTGTACGACTCTTTGAAGAAATGGGGCCCATTAAATTCTTGTTCATACGTATCATCTTGCACCTTCACTATATGAAGAAAAAAAAAAATTGCAGCTTCACTACTATTTGATAGCCACATGGCTAATGTTGCTTTAATGAAACCTTAAGATCTTTCATAAAAATATTTGAAAACCTTTTCATTGTTTACTCACATTGCTTTCTTGAAAATTTTATTAATTCTTGTGAAATTAATAAATATTATATGATACACGAAATTTATCAACAATTCTTGTGAAACTAAAATATGAGAAATTAAAAGTTGAAGTTAGTGCCATCCTATTCTACTACTTTTTCAAACATAAAAAGGTTGAAAAATTAATTTTTGGATAACTTTTGTCTACAAAGTTAAATATGATTTAAATGTTAGATGATTTTTATAGATGTTTAACAACCAATCGCTTCTAGAAATGAAAAATAGATCGGAACAAACGATGTTATTACAGAGAAATTTAAATACATAAAACACAAAAACTTATATAACAGAAGAAACATAAGTGAAAATAAGAGCATACATAAAACTTATTAATAATCTTCAAATTGGATCAGTAATTTAGCACATAAACAGATAGATTAAAAAATACTATAGCAGAAAAATCTTGGATTACACAATAATTTAGCACATAAACAGATAGATTAAAAAAATACTATAAAAGAAAAATCATGCATTACACAATATAGTTATTGGGCCTGTGCTCAGCACGGGCCAACCTTCACTAGCCTATATTATAAGTGGGAATAACCAGGCAGCTCATGGTCAACATGTCTGCCTGACCCATTATTATCTTACTCCTTAAGTTTGTAGCCCACACGTGTAGCCTAATTTTGCTGAAACAGTAGGGCCCACCTCAATTTCCCATTCCATGCATTCACAGCTAGCACTTATTTATACCTCTGAGTTATCACTTTATTGACTTAGATTATTTTTTTGCTTCTGTAAATTTTCTGAACTTTTAGAGCCTTTTAAATGTTCTAAGAGTGTCAAATGTCTAACTCATGGTCCCCACGTCTCCCACGCCCTATCCATGTACTCTCAAGCAAGGCAGCAAGATACAATTCAAGTCCATTTACTTTGGGGCGCATTTCAATTCCAAACAATTTTGTTATCATTTTGTGGTGCAAATTTCTATATTATTTGCAGTTAATGGACAAAATTTACTGGACGAAAATCTTGCATAAAATTTTTTGGTTGTCTAAAAATATTGCTTACCTCATTAATTTTCAAATTTCAAAGATTATATTATCAATTTCAGTTTAAGGTCAATTTTAATTGGTGTAAAGAAAATTATTTTTTCTAAACAATAGATTTTAAGAAAGTTATGAAAAAAAACAAGATAGAAATGATCTTTTTCTATGTGATTTTGAGCGCAATTAATATCGTCATTGTTGTGATAAAACTGACGTATTTAAACTATATACCGAAATCCCAAAACACAATAAACAGAAAACTATAATAGAAAAAGAAACAGACTAATATATGAATTGCCCAAATAAAAGAGTAGCAAGCAGATGAAAAGAACCGTTTATGAAGATTTCAGGACTCTGAAAGAACTAAAAAAGCAAGACTTATGGTGTGTGAACAAAATCTCATGCTCTCTCTATCTTCTGATGAAATGAAGAAAACCAAAGTTGTTAAGTAGCGGGCTTGACACATAGAGAGAAATTTCAAGCAGTTCTATGATATATAGGAACAAAGATTTTGTTGGTGAATGGTGATCTCTTATGCATAGTTAAAGTTGTATGACTTTTAGGAACAAAGATTTTGTTGGTGATCTTTTGTGCATAGTTAAATTTTAGGTTCGATGACAATGACATTAAACACTATGCTTCTGCAGCACACTTTAAATTACGTCTTCTCAAATACTTGATTAAGAAGAAAGATAAAACAACTACAATATATTTCATTGTAACTAAAATTTAAAAACTTAACAAGTTCTTTGCAATTTGAATTATGTGTTAAGCTAACAAATACCTCCTAATAGATTTTAATGTTGTTACATTTTGGTTCAGACTCCGCATGTAATTGTTGCTTCTGCTATTCCTTTTAATAATTTTGTCGAAAATAAAAATAATCATGAATTTGCTAACGTGAAGCTTCATCTAGACATTGGGCCTGGGCTTAGCCCGGGCATAACCTGACTAGTATATATATATTATATATATATATATATAGGTTCGATCCAACCTCTTGTATTCTTACCATCTTCTCCACCAGGATGACAACCGATCGGCTCACTCTTACTGCTAGTGCGACCTTCGGCTAGGTATCTTTCTTCCTAACTCTTTGGCTGTACTGTTGATCTTCTGTTTTTTGTTTTTGAGTTTTTTGCTTGCGTTTTTTCCCCTTCAATTTGAGAATGATTTACCTATTGTGGTATACGAACTTACAGTGAATTGCTATTTGTTAATTTGTTACTGGCTTATACTCAAGATGTTCTTTGTCATTTAATCAGTGAAATTCATGTTTCTTATGCTTTTAAGTAACTTCACGTTGAAATTTAAATGAATTTGAACCTATTATTTGATAATCATGGATGGCTTAAATAAGTAAATTATGAGATTTACGGACTTCCTGAATAAGTAATACTGTACTCGTTAGGTAGATTTTGCTTCTTAGGTCATAGTTTTTTTATTTTCCTAATAATTTGTTGCTTGAGGATTCTTAGTGATAACCTTATCAAGAGTGAAGTATTCAGAAGTTAAAGGAAAATCTCCGAATTCGAGTTTTTCTGAGAGATTATTTAGTTCTCTTTGGATTAAAAAGGAGAATATTTGGAATGACTAGAATAAAAGAAAGAAATTTGGAGACAATTACTTTTCTGAAAATACTTTCTACTTCTTGATGCCTTCTTCAATAACTTAATCCAGTTGTTGCTTGTTGATTTGAAGTTATTGTCTTGATAGAATCTACTGTAGCAAACACCTCGATCCGCCACTGTGATTTTCACATACTTTTTTTCTTTTCCTTTTTTTTTTCTTTCTTTTAAAATTTTAGCAAGCTTTATATTTTTAAGTTTATTCTGTATTTGTTTTTCATTACCCATTTAGCTGCTAACTTTTTGTTTTTTGTTTTTTTGTTTTGTTTTGCACTTTTAGGATCCCTTTTGTTGATCCTATTTATCTATCTATCTATCTTTATGTATTTATTTGTTTATTTTGTTTTTGCATTTTATGCCCCTTTTGATCTTTTGATATGATTCTATTTCATAAGCTCAATTCGCGTTAGTCAAGGATCATCAATTTCATATTAGAGACAAAAAAAAAGCCAAAAGAATCAGTGACTTCAGCAACCTATTGTGAAAGCAGTGTAATTCGATAAAAGCACGTGTGAGAGAACCGCAAGAGGGGAAAAAGAAATATGGCAAATTGGCTTGTGCTCAGTGCTTTTATTGCTGTAACGGTGGTAATTGCTCAAGCAGTAAGATTATTGTTTATGGTAATCAATGGCTGGAGAAATAGAAAGAAAGCTGTTGGGGTCTTCCACCCATACACCAATGACGGAGGTGGTGGAGAACGAGTCTTGTGGTGCGCTGTGAAAGCCATCCAAGATGAAAACCCGAATCTAGACTGTGTCATATATACAGGAGATCATGATGCTTCACCTGACAGCCTTAGTGGCCGTGCCCTTGATCGATTTGGAGTCAAACTAATCCACCCTCCTAAGGTATCCTTTACTTCTCGGTGGGTTTTACTCTGCGTACATGATATTATTTCCATTATTTCATTTTTCATGATAGTGTTTGACCTGAAACGAACTCTAGGGATTATTTGACATAGGAAATGTCACACTAAAGTTTGAAAGTTTTAGTATAACTAATTTAAATTAATAAAAGTTGTGAAAGTAGTATTAAAATAGAATACTTTCAACCATTAAGTCACAAAATAGAAAATTGTCATATTTCCTTTCTGTTCAGCTAAACAAACAACTTCCTTTTTCACTTTCGTTCCTGTTTCTTCATCTTCCTCCCCTCCCCCACACACCCAAACTCCACCACTAGTATCGAGTGTTGTAGCTATCAACTCCCAGATACTGGCGTTTTACTACCAGGGATTTCAACAGTACCACATAGTCTTTGTGCTTCTTCTATCCCTGATAAGTCACTGAAATTCTCAACATTCTTTATTGTTGCACCAGGAATACACTTCTACTCTGTTTAGAAATATAATATTTATTTATGTTAGTTTGTAGCTGCTTTGAGATATCTGTATTGTATACTCCATCCCCTGTTACCTGTATTGCTGCATCTTATATTCCTCTTTTTGATGCTTCATTACTGGTATATGTTTGATGGTGGTAATCACAAACACATATAATATACTGTCCAGATAATTGCTGCATAATGTAGTTGTTCTTTTGGAACTTCGATATATTGACATTCAGTGTCATTTTGCTCAAGATTACTGATTTCCTGCAGTTTACATTAGGTAGTCCATCTGCATAAGAGAAAGTGGGTTGAAGAAAACACTTACCCTCGTTTCACAATGATTGGTCAAAGCTTTGGATCGATTTACCTTTCTTGGGAAGCTTTGTGCAAATATACACCTTTATATTACTTTGATACTAGCGGATATGCTTTTACTTATCCAGTTGCCCGTATATTTGGATGCAAAGTTTTTTCCTATACTCATTATCCAACTATCAGTTTAGACATGCTATCTCGTGTTCGTGGGCGCAGTTCAATGTACAACAATGATTCCTTGATTGCCAAGAGGTACTACATATTATCATAATATGCCATCTATAGGAGATCTGTCCCTTTTCCTTTTGTATTGTAAAAATTGCCATCTGTAGAATTTCATGCTAACAAGTCAAATAGTCATTTTGATGGAAGTTTCTGTTACTAACGCACCTAAAGGTTGGTCTACCTTGTTGAAGAAAAATGAGAATGGGCTATTCAAACAAAAAGGAAAAGGCCATGCTTAGTCAGACAAGCCTTTGTCATTGTCTGTCAACTAAGTGTTGCCTAAGGCCCCTATGAGAAACTGTTGATCTGCTTGTGTCTTTTTTTCTTTTTTTTCTAGTATTAACAATGTTGTCAGTTGACTTTGTTTCATGTATGCGTATCTTTTTACCAAATTAATGTGGTCATTTACTAACTGGCAGTCGTAAGAAGATATATTGTTATTCCGCTTCTCCATGAAAGTGTACATCTAGACGCATTAGTGGGTCTTCTGAAATTATATATCCTAGGGACTGAATATGATAAGATTGTAATATTTTTGCATTTTCTTTGCTTGTATCTGTGCATGAAGCTCTTTAAATTGCTTTTCTGGCAGTGCGATACTATCCAGGTTCAAGGTTGTTTACTATACACTGTTTGGCTGGCTGTACAGCTTTGTTGGTTCTTGTGCACACCTAGCAATGGTTAATTCTTCATGGACTCAATCTCATATTGAGAAGCTGTGGGGAATACCAGCTCGAATTAGGCGTGTGTATCCTCCTTGTGATACTTCTAGGCTTCAGGTCTGTATTTTTAAACTCTTTTGGTGCTAATATAACCCGTCTTTCTCCTCCTGATGCCTAAAGTTATTAATGCTTTCCCTTTTTTCTGTAGATGTTATTAATTTAATGAGTTGAGGCTAATTTTTTGCTATAGCACTGTCCTGCATTTTTGCAGTGATGAAGTATCTGATGAAAGTAGGATTCAATGTACTTTTCAGATGAATTTCTCATTTCGATCCTTATTTGGACTTTCGTGACTCTTGCCTTTGTTGAAAATTGAGGGAAATGACATTACTCTATTCCTTTTTAGAAGGTCTTATTATTTCTTCTGTTAGTCTGTTGAGTCTGGGTTGGACAGTAAGCAATTGCATTTTTGCATGGCCAATATTAACGACAAACTTGACACTGCTCTTGACAGGCGCTTCCGCTAGAAAAGTCAATGAAACCTCCGAAGATAGTATCTGTGGCTCAGTTCCGTCCAGAGAAGGTGGGCATTTTATGTGGTCCTTGTAGAATTCAAGGTACCCATACTTCTGCAGGTGTTTCAAGGTATATTGCAATCTTGAAAGTCTTGTAAAACTTGATTTTTCTGTGAGTTAGGCACACCCACTCCAACTTGAGGCGTTTGCAGTTGCCATCAAGAAGTTAGACCATGATCTGCCAAGGCCAATTATCCAATTAGTGGGTAGTTGTAGGAATGAAGCAGATGAGAAAAGGTTGCAAAATCTGAAGGACCTAGCTATTAAACTGAATGTGGACGATCATGTTGAGTTCCACAAGAATGTCATGTACAGGTTAGTGGTGCAACTCCATTTTGTTTGTCTGAAATTCTTAAACTCCAAGGCATGATTTTACTGAATTTTCAGGACCACAACTTTTCTTTAACTGCTTGAAGCTATAACTTTCAAGGTAAGGGTTTCATGAGAGATGGACTTTTTATTGCCTTGGCTTAAC